TTTCCAGGTTTTCAATGGTCAATTAATCATTGTAAAATCAGGAATTCTGTTGTTATGATGATGAATAATGAACCTATACTACATCGACAATACAGTTCTACAGATCTTTGTCGCATTTTTTCTTTTACTAATCACCACTGCTCTAAGCGTAAACGATCAAACCAATACAACGATTCCAATATGCAAGTAAAATCTACATAAGTTAAAACTTATTCTCTTAATCAACTTAAAACTATGTACTTGCAATTGCAAGCTAATTCTGAATTCCATTTAGAATTCATCTGAGAATAATTTTCGGTAAAAATATACTTCAACATCAATTGCAGTTTCAATGCATATCAGAACGTCATTTGGAATCTATGCAAATGTACATCTACTCAAAATCAAAAAGAAGGGCGGATTACTTGTAACGGTACACCATGGATAAGTGTTCCGCCATTCTTTACTGGAAAAAACGTCTCAGATAAGGCAAAACAGCATTTTGTTCTCCTTCCCCTCTGATTACTCTGTTGAATGTACAAACAAAAAATCTTGCTCTTAAATGAGCTATTTTCTGAAATTAATTTAATTGTCCACCATTGTTTATTCCAGGATGTTGGATATAAAATAGCAATATTGGAGATTGTCAACAGTAATCTCATTAACCTTTCCCAAGACGCATTCAAAAATATAGACCCAGAATCAATAGACCTCACTTACAATCATATCAGTGTTATAAATGTCAACGCATTTCGTTCAGTCCAGGTGTTCAAGAACTGTTCAATATAATAATGTGTCTTGAATTCATACAAATCAAATTTAATCATCAGATTCTTTCAGGATAAATTAAGAGAGTTAAATCTCAACCATAACCAGCTAAAGTCTATACCAACCGAAGCCTTAACTCATCTAAAGCAATTGAATTATCTTTCACTCCAAAATAACTTCATATCAGAAATTAAACCTTCAAGTTTCGACGACACAGAACTACAGAAACTGCGATACTTACATGTCGACAACAATCAAGTAATAATTTTTTGTAGTTTAAGGGCAAAAATTGATGCTAAGTTTTTTTAACAAACAAGTATAGGAAAATTTGCAACATCCAAAGCCCCAGTTGAGCCCAGCTAGTTTTGACCGATCAATCAAGAAAGATCATTTCTGGCAAAAAGAAAGGTTCACTTTAGGCTGATTCGATTGAGAAAAATATTCGCTTTAACAAATGTTTTTCCTTTCTTCTTTCTAAACAAATAATAAGTTGACAAAAAATCAAGCAAAATTTAGCTAGGAAATGTTCCGCTTGAATAACCTTCAAAAAAACTTTTCGCCCTTTTTCAATATTTTCAAAAGCTGAAACTTTCAGACTGATCGCTGTTGAACATCAATCAATATTAATAGCACAAACAACTGTTGAGTCATCACTGCTAAACTATGAGCTTAGTTTAAATTCAAATAAGAGAAGGTTTAATAAAAACTAACAATAAAAATAACAGATAAAAAAGGTTTTTCAGATAGAACACTTAGCTAAAGGGTCATTAAGTAGCTTACCACTGCACGTGCTGACCATTTCCAACAATAGAATAGAAATTATAGAAAAACTTGCCCTACCAAAAGGCTTATGGTATTTGGACTTAAAGAACAATGCGCTTAAACAGGTTGTCAATTAACAATACCGAAAATTTGTATATGTTAAAAAAAATGTATTTCAATAATATTACAGATACCGTATCTCGCATTGGAAGGTACCACAGGGCTACAGACACTGGATTTGGAAGGTAATAATATTACAAAAATCACAGCGAGTGCTGATGCAGAATTCAACAGCCCCATCAATCTTCTGTTAAAAAACAATAAAATTGAAACGCTAGGCAACAACGCTTTCCAAAGTTTCCGCAAATTAAGAAAACTAGACGTCAGCTACAATCAGGTAAGTAATCCAATTTCAATTCAAATCAAATAATTTTACTTTTCAAGTCTGACCTATATGACGGTATTATAAATGACACGAAAACCAGTCACATAAAAATTTTAAAAAGCAGTTCTTTTGAAGATTTCTCGACTTTCTGGAGGTGCATTCAATTCCATCATTGAGTTAAAACAGCTGGACCTCAGTAATAACAAAATTGCTTCTATACCTAATAAGACTTTCGAAAACATTGGTAAATCCCTACAAATACTGAATCTAGAAGACAACTATTTACATGTTCTTCCAACAGCGATAGAAGATCTACAAACCCTTGAGGCAATAAATCTCAATAACAATAAGCTAATCACGTAGGTTCTCAATTCGCAGTACTTATAATTGCTACCACTGAATCAGCTGTTAATTTAACAATCTCAGCTAAATTTTAGAATCGATAGCGATGTCTGGAAAAATTTGAAGCCGGCCTTAACAGAACTATTACTTGCATATAATCGCTTGGATAGAATACCGACCAAAACACTGAATGAAATGAAAAAACTACAAAATCTGGACCTTTCAAAAAATAAAATTAGCGCAATAAAACAAATATCTTTTGGAGGTTCCAGTGGAGCGAGCGCAACGTTGAAGAAAGTCAACCTGGCAGGAAACTTACTACAAAGAATCACTGATCCTGCCTCTTTTTCTCGCATGAATTCTTTACTACAGCTAGATCTATCATATAACCAGCTAAACACACTAAACGACAACGTATTTTTGTACCTCAAAAACCTCAGCCTCCTCAATCTGGAAGTAATAAGTCCTCTTCTTCAAAAAATATTATAACCACACTTACAGTACAATGATCAAAGAAATTTTTCAGCTATCATTTAAAAAATTTCTGAAAATCTCAAAATTTGAATCTTCGATTTACCAATGCACATCCGATAAGTGTGATTTATTTTTAGGGAAATCGGATTGAACGCTTCCCTAAACAAGCCTTAAATGGACTGGATAAGCTGCATACTCTAGTACTCAATGGAAATCCGATTGAAAAATTGCCAGACTACTTTTTAGAAAACTTAAGAAACTTGAAGCAACTCAGCATCAGTAAGATGAAGCTGAAAGAACTAAATGAAAAAACATTTCACGAATCTACTACAACCCAGATAAAAACCTTGAACATAGCCTTCAACCAAATAGCTCATCTGCCTCAAAACGTTTTCCGCAACTTATATCGAGTTGAAATTTTATTCCTTCATAACAATCGTCTTTCGTCACTCAGCTCCAAAGTAAGTCTAACAGACAAAAAAGAACGAGCTGTAAACAGAATGAAAACTCAAATGCAATTAGTAAAAAAGCCAATAAGTAAACTGAATATATAACTTTTTCAGGCATTTTCCTCGTTAAATAACCTACGTCATCTGAGCTTAGCAAATAACCAGATTGCTAAAATTGAGGAAAGAGCTTTGGATAAACTTTATGCTCTAGAAGAACTGTCACTGGCAAACAATAAGCTAACAACTTTGCCAAGACAATCATTTTCTGATCTACAAAGTTTGCGGTATCTTGATTTGAGCAACAATTTACTACGTTACTTCGATTTCAGTTTCTTACAACAAACAGATCTCCTGATTGAACGACTTGATCTTTCTAACAATCAAATAGAAATGTAAGTGACCGTAAAAGTGAAAGAAGAGTTAAAAAAATATAAAAAGCCAAAAGACACTTAATCCTCGTTATTCCTTCTAACTGTTGCAGAATTGATTTAACAAACATTAAACGCACTTTAACCCATTTGAATCTGGCTAGCAATCAATTTCAAACAATTGGAAAAGGACTAATACATGGTTTTGACAAGCTACAATTTCTCGATCTTAGCAACAACGGTGTTTTTGAAATCCAACAAGATGCGTTCGCAAAAAGCCCCCAACTTCGGGTTCTAAAATTGGGACAAAACCATCTACGACAGCTGAATAAAAATACATTTGCCTTACAGGTGAGATATTAGTTAAATAATTTTGAAAAAAACTGACACTGCTTTTAAATACTTTCAGGAAAGGCTTGACGTCTTGAAGTTAGAAGACAACGAAATTAGTTTCATAGAAAAAGGAACTTTTGGTGCAAACAATGTTCATATTCTGGATATCTCAAAAAACAAGTTAGAAGTGGTACCGCGACCAGCACTCGCATCAATAAGCAGCAGCATTTCTGTACTTAATTTAGAAGTAAAAAATTACATTAAAAAAAATGAAACAAATCATAACTGAAACAGTAAAATATCTGACTGCTAAAAATAACAAATAATACTGCTTTTCAGCACAATAAACTGAAGACAATCGATGCAATTAGTTTTCTTGGTATGATAAACTTGAAGACACTATGCCTTGCGTTTAATCGCATTGAAGTTATTGAAGAAAGTGCTTTTTCAACTCTGGAAAGTCTAATGGAATTAGACCTTAGCAATAACCCTGTGCTCTCTTGGAATCCTCAAGCGTTTAAGGTCAGAAAATCTAGAGTTTTTTAGTTGAAATATACCGATCCAAAATGAATTTCAGGGGATTAGCCCATCTCTGCAATTGCTAAATCTAGCCCACACAGGACTGTACTCTCTTCCACGAATCAACAGTCACGGCCTGAGACTATTTAACATCAGCGGGTAAACAAAAAATAACAACTCTTCCAGTTAACATTAATTTCGCTTCAAAAATAAAATAAGAGAGATTACTGAACAAAAATATCTAATGGCTTTCACTGATCGCCCTCAATAAAAAAGTGTTCTGTGTTTCAGTTTCATATTTTTCTTGAACAACTTTTGATTAGTACAAGTTCTGTCTTTAATAGTAAATTCAAACTATATTATCATAAAAAAATCTTTTAATTTTTTCAGGAACGAAATCAGCGAACTTCATTCAAAAGAAATAAGTACATTCAGGAAGCTTGAAACATTTGATGCCTCATTTAATAGGCTAAGCAAGATAGATCAACATGTGCTAGAATTGCTCACCCAAATAAAAGCTCTGAATATTTGCAGCAACCCCATAAAAATAATAGATGAAAATTTCTTAAAATATTTCCACAGAGTACGGCTTACCACTGATTCAAATTTTAAGATTTTTTCTAAATAGTTGCAAATCCTCTTTTTATGATTTTGTTGTATAATTGAAGATTGAAAGCTTGTCCATATGTCACATGCCTGCTCTTTATCACTTACCACAACCGAGTGAATTTCGACGTCTAAATTCGCTACGTCACCTACAGGTAAAAAATAAACTTTGATGTGCAAAGTTCTGAAGAAGTATAATGCAACTGAAATTTCCCCAATATATGTCAAAAACTGTAAGAGGCACAGCCAAGCCAAGAATAAATATTTAAAGAAATGCAAATAAATTAAACTTTAAAATGCTAAAAAATGAAGAATGAAGTTACAGCTATTTGATACCCCTAAACTTGTCAATTACCGTATTCCTGAAATACTGTCTAACCTACCTGCTCTACAAATGTTGGACATAGAAATTCAAGAAACGCGTTTGGACAGACAGTTCGACAAGACAGATTTAAGACTATTGAGAAGTCTAACTATCAGAGGGAAAAATCTTAAACAGGTAATCAAATACACATATTTAAAAAGCCATCAACCAGAACTGTAAAAGTTTAGATGGTTTTATAGCAAGTACAAAGAATTATAAAAAATAAGTTATAATTTCAGCTAGACATAAGTGCTTTTATACGTCTTAGAGGCTTGAAATTTCATCTAACTATAACAGATGCTTCAATCGAAGAAATACCCGCAACAATATTCAATGGCTTGACGAATATCAATCAACTTTCTTTGTCTATTGTCAACAGCCAGCTTAAAAGCCTTAAAATTTTCGAAAAAACGGAAATTCCATTTGTTAATCAACATGGAACTATCCTAGAACACTTAGATGTTCAGGTAAAACCTTAGAAGAATTAAGCAGACTTGTTAGAAAATAGCAGCAGCAAAGAGGCATGTAATTCAACTCTCCTCCTAAATTATTCAATTTTGGAACAAAAATTTCTATGACAGTAACAACTTTACTCTGCCGAATGCCTTTAATTTGAGGAAACTGCACTCCTCTGTGACTGTGATATGGAATGGATCGTGGAGTGGAATATATATTATGAAAATAATTTATCAAAAAGAGGGAGCTTAAGAGACTTGAAATGCACCCTCAAAATGAAGAACGATATTGACGTATCAATGCTTTATGAAGATTTTGCAGACAGTTATTGTAGTAATGCGAAAGGAATAAGATACTCAAGTGTAAATATTCTGATTTTTTTGATATTTCGTTATTTATACAGAAACGTGTAAAACCAAAAATGATTTCATGACCGGGTATAGAATTTTCAGATTTAAAGCAAAACGGATACCTCATACACTAGTCATGCGTAGAAATAAATTCTTTATATTTCTTTTTTCGCTTGTACAACAAAAAACTGCAGGTGCAAACAAAAAAAAAAACCAACCCTTTCAGTTTAGACAATGACAATATATTCTGCGGAACAAAATTCTCGACAGTTTCGGTACATAAAGAGATCAAATTTTGGTCGCTATCGTTCGAAACTGGAAGTACAAATTAGGAAGCATGTAAACGAATAAATTCTGCTTGCCCCACTATGTTTTGAATTAAAATAAAATTACAAAATAGAAAAGGAAATAAGAGATCCTCTCGCCTTATCAGGTCTATTTCGAACTTACCATTAGTGTATTCGATTAAGGGCAAAAAAAGAATTGAAAGGAAAACGCCAAGTTCATTAGATGAACAACCGGCCAAAAATCGATACACAGCAGCTTTACGAGCAACTTCTCCCTTAGGAACATGTGTATTTAATTTTCCGTACAATACCCTTTAAAACGTAAAAGCAATTGGAAGGTTACATGGCCATAGAAAACTTGATTATAAAATAAAATCCGTTACAGTTCTCCAAAAAATAAATGAATTTTTACCTCATTAAAATTGCTATTGTTTGGTCTCGGTGCTCCGCTGCCACAGTAGTACATTGTGGGTCCACACCAAACAAAACCAGTTCATTCAAAAATGTCCTTTCATCAATTAATTTCTCGAAGTTAGTTCTTGAAAATATTTATTTAGGTTTCTACAGCAAAAATACCTTTGATCCCCAATATAACAATAAAAATTTCGTTTTATATTACAATGTCACTAGAGGCTTATAGCCTACCTGTAAGGATTGAGGTAATTATAGTGATATCCAAATAAACAAGTGAGAACCGCCTTTTGAGCCTCTGGGTCGCCAATTAGTAACAACTAAAAAGTATTTACCAACTTTGGCAGTCATTCTCAACGGTAAGAAAAACATCTTTACTAACATAAAAAACCATACTTCATCGTACAATGATCGTATTTCCTTGGCCATATAAATTTTCCTCGGTGACTTAAACTTGCTAAATACTTCTAACAGAGTGATAATCGTCTTTTTGATCTCCTTTTTGCTCAAAGTTAATGCACTTGCAGCTTCAAATCCCAATCTGATTTCCGAATTTTGCATTAGCTTCCGCCGTTTCACCAGCTGTTCACCCACTTCGTCCTTCCCGCTAGTCCTAAAAACAACAAGTTAGCAAAGAACACGAATTCTAAAACGCAACAACCAAATTGGTCCATCTGAAAAATAGTTTTTTTCCGTAATTAAGTGGTCATAGAAGACAGTACAGTTCGCTTTTCTTTTCTTCTTCATCAGAGGCTGAGGAATCTTCGCAGTTTTCAAGAAGCACTTCATCAGTAAAAAGAATGTTCTGCTGTTGTATATTTTGCCTGCTCGGATTTTCATACTCGTTTCTGAAAGAGTACAATAGGCAATATATTCAAGCTAAACATACAAAAAAAGAAAAGCAGGTCGTACAGCGAGTATTGCGAATGGTAGAACTACTTGAAAAAGTGATGCGAAAAATTATTAAACCGTTGGAAATGCGAAAAAAGAACAGAACAATAAGCTATTCAAGCTAATCTTAAAGAAGCGTGTAAAATTCTGTTAGATCAAGTTTTAAATTTTCAAAAAGAGTTAAAAAATTTCTGAAAATTAATCCTGACTCCGTAGATTACCTAAATAAATTCAGAAGTAATGGACTCAAGTCACACGATTTTTGCTCAGCAACATCTGGAATGCGATCCAGCATTCTAAATAACTGAAGACGAAAAGTAACGTAATCAGGAGTGTGGTGACCAGAGATCCCGCATAAAATATCTAAATCTTCGTCAAACTCCGCATTTTCCTTTGAGACAGCGTCTAGAAAAAGAAAAAAATTAAGATTGAAGACGCAAAATGAGTAAAAAACTGAACTTCTTCATAATTCATATAATAATAAGCCATAATAAAACGTAAATTACTCAAGAATTCCTAAATTAATTTATCTAATCCTTAGAGGAAAAATTACTGATATGCGAAGATGCATTTGTTATAAACTCGTAAAAAACGGGCCAAAAGACTTCGGTAGAAAAACCACGCGCATAGCTCTCAATAATTTCAAAGAGCTGGTCCCAGTATATAGTAAACCTCTCGTAGAGTTGCGCAATGACAACTCGCAATAAAATCTGGAAAAATATAAGGCTGAATAAAAGTTAGAGGAAACAACTTGATATCGGCAAAATATTGAGGGAACCATGACATTTTCCGTAACTTTTATGCAGCAAAATTATGAATCTACCGTTTCTAAAGCAGAATCGAAATTTTCAGGGATATATTTCTTGTGAGCTCCATAGGACAGCTTACGCAACAACATAAGCCGGTTTCTATAACTTTCAATTGTTAACTCTGTCCTTTCCACTTCTAATAAGATTTTTAAAAAACAGTCTGCCTTCCCCTGCAACAGATAAAAAGCTGAAATACCCCACCATGCAGAAGCAATTGGAAATTAAAAACCACAATCACCGCATCTAACAAATGAAAGACAACCTCACTTCAAATCGTCTACATTACAGTATTTAAAAATACTGATATGTCTGCAAAAAAGTTAAAAAAACCTTGTCCTCATTTTCAGCAAGTGGCAGAGGAAAATCAAAGTGATTAAGACAACGCAACGCCAGCTGACGAATAGAGGATTTGTGATTGCTAAAAAAAGGTAACAACTCTCTGGCTACCTAAAAACACGTTAGAGAATTATAATGAAAAGAAAACCACTAATATCATCAATAAAACTCAAAGAAAGCAATAATATAAATTTTAAAAAGATATTACCTTCAGAGATAAGGCCATATGATCTTTATAAAGAAAGGTATGAGTGTAGGGCAGAATCATGTTTAAAACTTTTAGAGCCGCTTCCTTACAATTAGCATATCTATAACAGATCGTTACAGACAAAAGGGATATCAGAGCAATCAGCTCAAAACCTAATGTAGGAGGTGAGAATCCAGAACCCATACTTTAAAAAGTTTAGAAGATCATCAACATTAACATTTGCAAAGTAATCTTTGCCCGTGAGAAAGACTGCATTTGCGCTTAACACTGACAGGTACGACGATAAGATACCATATTTACCACTGATTGCATCATTAAAAATAACCATAACGTCATCCAAGGCTAGAAATATTTAAAGAGTAGTTGAAGGCTTAAAAAATAAAAAGAAAATGATTGCAAAACAGTACTGGACCTCCAAAATTTAACCACCTCCGCGTAACGTCAATAAGAGATTTAATGAAGTTTACCTTCTACAGTTTCAACGCCCCGCCAAAGCCAAGGATAAACACTGCATCCGTACAAGAGAAGAACATCTTGTTCTCTGTTTTCGGAATTTTTGTTACGAATAATATCAAGAACACATTCACGCACGGCAAGATGATCAGAAACATCGAAAAACAACACTCTTTCTCCTGTAAATCTGTTGCAATTAAATTTTCCTCAACTGGCAGCTGTAACTAAACACAGAAAGTATACCCTTTCAATTAGCATTAATTCCCCTAATTTATTTGATATTTTAGTTCAGATCACTACAGATAACAACAAGTTTTCAAATATAAATAAGCAAAATTACGTTGAAATGCTAAAGTTAAAAAGCTACATAAAATTTCCGTCACTGCTTCGACCAAACCATACCTTCGTCAACATTAATTCGCCTCCTTTCAGCGCACAACAAGGCATAAAACTTTAAAATTTCTAATACACCACAGTGACTCGAATTACTCAAAACTTTGGAGTAAAATTTCCCAATTGATGGCATCAAAAAAATGTCAAATATACTTAGGTCAACAAGGTCAGAGAAAAACTGGCACATAACGGCAACATCAGTGCTAAAAAACGAAAAGATAATTGAAAAAGTCATAAAACCAAGGGTTAAACAGCAGAGAAGTGTGGGATATTTTGTAGGATACAGATTTTGAAAAAAAAGTAAAATATAATAGACAAGAAGCTTACGCCTCTGCCTGTTTTACAACAGATTCCATGAGAGATACGGCCTGAGAACGGTCTTCAGCAGCTCCACAAGACCTGAAAAAAGTGGCAAAAAAGACTGTAGTAAGTTTTTAAAGCTTGATGCACTAAGCAAGACGCAAAACGTGAAAGATAAATGTTGCTGGAAACTACAAAATTATCGTGTAACATTTTATGATATTACTATTCGTTTTAAACAACAATACATGAAACCAAGCAGTTATTCGTTTTAGGGAAATACACGTTGGCTCAATCAAAGAAACAAACCTTTTAATGCTTTCCGATATTAATTTCAAAGTCAAAGGGTGCGGCTTCCACTCACCAGTTACTATATCGCCACTTAATAACCTCAAGAAATTATGAGGTACAAATATAACATTTTTCCTAGAGGCACTGATTAAAACCAACAACAATCGCGCCAGACAAACTGTTTTTGAAGAGGTAGAGGATGAAGCGCAAAAGGAACAAAATTTTTTCTGCAAATTATTGGAACAAGTCTTTGTCAGGAAAATCCATAAAAGAAACAGAATTAAACTGCACAGAAGTCTTTAAAAAGCAGGTCTCAAATGACACAAAAACGCAGCTCAAAATTATTAGAACACTTTTAAAAATAAACATAAATAAACTGGCCGACCAATATAATATCAGTTAGCGGCAAAATGTAGTCCTTCTTTGTGAAAGCAATACATAAAGCTACTGTTCCTTCCAAAATGACAGTTGCAGTTTCTAAAGTAGGTTGGTCGCTAAATTCCAAAGAAGCGTCAATTATTTCAGTAAAGACCTGAAACATCGTCAGCTTTCTTGATGGTTTCGCATAAAAATTTCAACTTGATTTTTCATATCAATGCAAGCATAATTGTCAGCAAAAAAAGAAAAAAATGAAGATTTTTTTGTCATCAAAAACAGGAAGCTTTCAAAAGTAGTAACAAAAACAAAAAATACAGTTGGTGCCGAGCTATGGAATTGACTCATAACTCCCTTAAGAGTATTGAAATAAAGTTGTGAGACACCGTCACGCAGCAACCGATTGTCAGCCTAAATTCAGTTTGAAAACGATCTAGAGTTTGTTCAAAAATGCAAGATTCAAAAAGAAAAAAATGATGTTTTTGTTGTAGATCAGTACCAAAAACTT